TATCCATGCATGTATTTTCTTTTTTTTAACTTTTACAAAAACTTTATTAAGAATTTCATACATGCATATAAGGTGTTTGGATAAAATCCATGCCCATTTCCTCCCCTCCAACATTCCTCTCTCTGAAGAGGTAACTCTAAAATCTTTTAAAGACTAGATAAATGCTCCCAAATACTTTTGATGTTTTTGGAACATGGAACAGAATATGTTGCTAACAGGCCCAAGGACATTTTGACTTTTAGCCAAGAAACTGGTTATATTTCTTTGGGGTCTTTTTACCCTAACTGCCTAGCCAATTCCTACCTCCTACTCTTTTTTTTTTTTGGTCTTTTTAAGACAGGGTCTCCCTGTAGCCACACTATGGAGACCAGGCTGGCTTTGAACTCACAGAGATCCGCCTGCCTTTGCCTCCCGAGTCCTAGGATTAAAGGCATGCGACACCAAGCCTGGTCTCCTACCTCCTACTCTTATCACACCATCCTCTGAAGGGGTGTATAATGCCCTGAGTCCATTCAGTGGTGCACCTGTGTATCTGTGTTTAAAGCTGTCCACTTGGAGTTAGATAACCTCTCAGGGAGCTAGTCCCTAGAGGAAACTGATTCTTTCTTTGAGATTTCTTAATTTTACCTTCCATACCAAATTATAGTAAACTTTATAGCACCACCTGACATCACCAGTAGAAAGGTCCTTATTGATGTGATGGGTCATACCCAGCAATTTACTAAAATCGTTGTAGGTTACCTTCAGGCTACATGTTTAAGGTGTATATGAGGCAGAAATGAATTTTGTATTTAGACTTGGGTTTCTTTCCCAAGATATTTTATTATGTATTTGTGAATATTCTAGGAAAACAATCCAAAATCTTAACTTCTTTCTTTTCAGCCATTTTGGATAAGGAATATTCAACTTGTATGTAGCATCTCTTAAAAAGAACAGATACATAGAACCTTGGCATGCATATATGTATTACATTCATAGATTTATATGGTACCTTGACAATATAATAGTTTTTTATTTTTGCTTTCCAGTAATAAATAGTATGTTGTACTAGTATTTATAATGAGAACTATCCTTAAAGACTCTTATTTTATTTTGTATAAATTGGTTTCAGGACTTTTTATATGATAGGGGATGTTTTGGTGGTGGGGAGGGATTGGAGAGTGTCTTAACATAAGTTGTATTTATATTCCCTATAGGGATTAGGAGCAGACAGCAAGAACCTGTACCCTTTCCTGCTCCCAGTTATCCAACTGAGTACAGATGTTTCTCAGCCTCCACATGTCTATCTTCTGGAAGATGGTTTAGAATTATGGTAAGAGGAAAAACTCGATACTGTGAATCTTTTGTTTTCTTCCCCTCTGGCCTTCCCTACCTTTGTCCCAGTAGAGCTTTTAAAAGGTCTTTAACAGGGCTTTGAATACTCTGCATTTAAAAGAAGTACATGAAGCTGTTTTCCCCCAGGTGTTTCTGCTTTTGGTGGCTGCTGCTCAGGGTAGTCTGAGATAGACAAGAGAAGTTGTAGCAGGGACCTGCTGCATTTTACATCAAGATTAGAATCCTGGTCATTTTCCCAAACTAAAATTGGTCTTAAATTTTCCAGTCTGTGAAATAGATGTTCTGGGGGATAGTGAGTTATTTTTCAACCTCTTACTGCCCTCAGTAAGTAGTGAGACATTGTAACTCAGCCCAAAGTAGTGTGTAGTGCTAAAGGTTTAAAAATAAATAGTCCTGCTTCCATGATAAATTAATGTGACGCATGTTGTTGACTAGCCACGGTGTGTTTAAGGAATTGTGCTATCAAATCCTTTGGCTCGAATCTCATTTCACTGATGTAAACTGTTTTCTTCAGAAGTAAAAGAGGAAGCTTAAAATTTTCCACTTCTAAATTGACTACTGCATTTGAACAGATCACATAAATCAACCATGGAAAAAGTGAACATTTGTTCTTTGCCTTCTTGTCCTACATTTCCTTTCTTTTTTCCCTTAGCTTTGCTTAAGAATTGAGAGCATTGATCTAGGCTGGTGTATAGGTCAGTGGTGGAGTTCTTCCCTAGCATTTGCAAGTCCCTGGGTTCAACCCTTAGCATTCTGCAAACAATATAAAAAAAACAGAGTTTGGGTCTTAGAAATTGTTTTTTGGTGCTGGAGAGATGCTTCAGTAGTTAAAAGCACTGACTACTCTTGCAAAGGACCTGGGTTTGATTCCTAGCACCCACATGGTGGCTAACAACTTCTCTAACTCCAGTTCCTGGGGATCTGATGCCTTCTTACCTCCACGGACATTGCACGACATGGATGAACTTATACACATTCAGGCAGTATACTCATACACATAAAATATTTTTTAAAATTGTTTTTATTACAAATGACTAAATTGTAAATAAATGATCTGTATCAGAATATTAGATGATTTTAAAATGTAAATGTAAGGTAGATTCTTACTAATTTGAAATTTGAGTTTTCATAGTCTTCCCGATAGTTATTTGAATAGCATATAGCTTGGTTCTAAATTGAGTTGTTGTTGAAATCTTTATGTTTATAGATTTTGTTTGTATGGGGTGAATTGCTCTGGGTCAGAACTTGACAAAAATTTATTGGCAAAGGGATAGATAGTAAATATTTTACATGTTCCAAATCTGTCACAGTTGCTCAGCTTTATTGGTTCAGGGTCAAAACAGTCAAATAATACATAATCAGCTAGACACATACCAGTATAGAAAATAGAATGTGAGTTGGATTTACCCCATGACTTACTTGTTAATACCTCTTTCAGATTATAAATTAAAATTGGAATCTTGGGTACATAAATACTATAAACATCTAGATTCTATATGATGTTGAATATTAGAAAAAATTTAAATATTATGAAAAGATAGATGCAGAAAACAGACTTTTTTTTGTGGGGTGGTGCTGGGTTCCTTGGCTTTGTGTTCCTAAGATTTCAGGCATTCACCACTAGGTTGGCTCAGTATTACACATTTAATATTTTGTTAAGGAAATTTAAGTTTTCAGACTGGAGAGATGGCTCAGCGGTTAACAGCAGTGGCTGATCTTGCAGAGGACCAGGGTTCAATTCCTAGCACCCACATGCCAGCCCCCAGTCATCTGTTACTCCAGTTCCAGGGGATCTGACACCTTCTTCTGACTTTGTGAATATTTCAGGACACGAGTGCACTTACACACGCAGGCAGTACACTCATACACATAATAAAGTATTTTAAAAAAGAAATAGAAGTTTTCAAAGGATTTTGTAAATAATAAAAAGTTCATGGCTCTGGCTCTGTTAATGGCCCCCTCCCCCTTCTTGTTTAACTTTCTACTTTTCCTGAAACAGGATTTCTGTAACTCAGGCTGGCTTGCTTTGTTGTAAAGCCCTGGTTGACATTCAGCTCATGGTAATTCTCTTGCCTTAGCCTCATGAGTGGTAGGATTACAGGCATGAGCCTCTTTGCCTGTTTTAGGACAAACATTCAACAAAATCATGCTGTTAATTGCTTCTCTTGGTTAAAGAATCCAGCGCGCACACACACCCCATTTGTTTTTGAGAACTGGAACAATGCGGACCAAGCTGGCCTCAGTCTCATAGAGATCTGCTTGCCACTGCCTCCCAAGTGCTGGGATTAAAGGCATACTTTAATTTTTTTAAACTAATTTTTTTTCAAACTGTTCATCAATTTGTGTTTACCTGATGTACAAATGTTTTTTTAATGCTGGGTGTGGTGGCACACGTCTTTAGTCTCAGCACTTGGGAGGCAGAGGCGGGCAGGCGTATCTCTGTGAGTTCTAGGCCAGCCTGGTTTACATAGCAAGTTCCAGGCCAGCTGGGGCTACAGGGAGACCCTGTCTCAAAAAGACGCCCCCCCCCAAACAAAACAAAACAAAACCACCAAAAAGCAAATGGTTTTTTTAGAACAAATTTTTCTTAATGGCCTAACACTCATATTTGAAATCAGACATATTCCAAAGCTATTCCAAATTCTACCACAACATTCAGGTTATGATTTATGTAAGCCCATCTTCTGTAAGCCGTGTTTCCTTATCTATAATCTTAGAAAAATATAATTCCTACTTTCCATAGTGGCTATAAAGATGAGCTGTTTGCTTGAGGGATCAGCAGTCATACATAGCATTTAAAGCCTATGAATATAAGATTGCCTAGCAAGAAAAAGCTGATTGAGATGCCTAGGACACAAGCCTTACAAACTTAAAATATTTTGAGGGCACAAAATAAGCATCTAAGAAGACAGGATGAGACCTATCTACTCTTAAAGTAGGAAACCCAAACTAAGAGAGCTTTTCCTCAAAGACGGAGGGGCAGCTCTGACAAGCATTGCTGATTGTCGTAGTAAGTAAAGTGAATTTGGCTTTGTGGAGATGGCAGGATTTTCAGGGGGATGGTAGCAACAGAATTAGAATCAGAGTAGGCTGAAAAACGGATGAGAGAGACTGAGTGCTAGTAGCTTTTTGGGGGAGCTTTTACTGTTATAAGACATGCAGAATGTAAGACTGGTATGGGGCTTGCAAGATCTAGAATGAGGGAAACTGAAGTGAGAACAGGGTAATTGAAGGAGGCAAGAAGTAGAAGGCATCAGAGCTCTGGAGGAGGCCTTGAGTCCCATAGCAGCAGGGGTATTTCATGTTGACTGATGGTAGGATGGTGGCTTTCCAAGTGTTGTAGTGTGTTCCATTGGCTGCCTTGTTTTTTCTTAGTAAAATATGCGGCCTGGTCATCAACTGGCAGTTCTGTGCTGGAATAAGAGCTTACTAATATGCAAGAGTTCTCTGACCAAGAGAAATCACAGAGTAACCAGTAAGAGCTTGCTCTTAACTGTGGTACTCGGTGCCAGTTGATCCTTCCTTTTCTTCTGCACTGGGGACTGAAACCATAGCATCCATATGTTAGTGAAGACTCTGCCTCTAAAATATATCTCCAGACCTCTCTTTTCTTTTTTAATATTTGATATTTATTTTTTTAAATACAGGTTCTCAGCTCCAGTTGACCTGAAACTCCTTTGAGCTTGCTCTTAACTGTGGTACTCGGTGCCAGTTGATCCTTCCTTTTCTTCTGCACTGGGGACTGAAACCATAGCATCCATATGTTAGTGAAGACTCTGCCTCTAAAATATATCTCCAGACCTCTCTTTTCTTTTTTAATATTTGATATTTATTTTTTTAAATACAGGTTCTCAGCTCCAGTTGACCTGAAACTCCTTTTGTAGACCAGGATGGCCTTGATCTCACAAAGATCTACCTGTCTCTGCCTCCTGAGTGCTTCTTTCTTTTTTTTAAAAAAAAAACATTATTATGAATTTCTAAAAATTTATTATTATTTTAAATTTTACAAAAACTTTGTTGAGAATTTCATACATGCATACAAGGTATTCCAATCAAATCCATGCCCACTCCCTCTCCTCCAACATTACCCCCTCTGAAGAGGCAACACCAAAATCCTTCAAGGATTAGATAGAAGCTCCCAAATACCCTTGACATTTCTGGCCCCTGGAACAGAGATACTGTTAACAGGTCCAAGGACATTTTGACTTTTAGCCTAGAAACTGGCTACTTTTCTTTGGGGTCTTTTTACTCCTACCTCCTATTCTTATCACATCACCCTCTGAAGAGGTTACCCAAATTGCCAATAGGTAATAGGGACACAGACTGCTCTGGCTTCTTCCATGCCGAACAGGGATGCAGGGTGAGGCAATTGGAGTACCCCTTCAATGGGTCTATCTAAAAGACTCCCAAATTGCATAACTCTTATTCTAAGGGGAAAAGAAAGTCCTTGAATCATGAATGGGAGATGAGAAGGAGAAGTAAAGACAAGAGTAAAAGCTTTACAAGTTCTAGACAGGGAACAGAAAAAAGTCAGAACAGGGCGATTTTCAAATGTTCATATGAGAGTCCATTGGAATTTCTTGACAAGGGCTTTCAAAAGTATCCCTCTATTGGGTTCCTCCTCATTTTTCTTTTGTCTTTCAAGGCTGGACTCTAGAGTGATGGATTCAGGATTTGCTTTCAGGTATTTTGACAGCTGTTGGAGTAGTTAGAATCGGTGTCAGTTCCCTCTCACAGGCTTCAAGATAACTGAGTGGGGTTGCTGAGGTGTGTGTATGACCTGAGGGTATGCACACTGGATAGCCTTTACCAAGCATGGGTCATGCCTTCTATTCCTAGCCCTCCCCAGATTGTATACTTTAGCCCTCCCCAAATCAAGGAGGCTGTGTGTGATTAAGGTCAAATTACATACAGCTGGCTGCGAAGAGTGGCTGGATACTCAGGTGAGGGTCCAATGACCCTGCTTGGCACTTCTTT